TCTCTACTAAAAATACAAAAAATTAGCTGGGCATGGTGGTGGGCGCCTGTAGTCCCAGCTACTTGGGAGGCTGAGGCAGGAGAATGGCATGAACCCAGGAGGAGGAGCTTGCAGTGAGCTGAGATTGCGCCACCGCACTCCAGCCTGGGAGAATGAGAAAAAAAAAAAATTAAGAATGAGAAAAAAAAAAAATTAAGAATGAGAAAAAAAAAAAATTAAGAATGAGAAAAAAAAAAATTAAAAATGAGTAAAAAAAATTGAAAATTTCTGCCTTTCAGTGAAAAAAAAAAAATGACAACAGGGTAGACACATTACAAATGTCATACTAAAAAAGTTGTTGCTTCATGAGGGGGTTAGTCAACGAGAAAGAGTCGAGGTCAATCTATCCACACGGAGAATGGGTGGGACGACTTTTGGGGGTTAATTAAATGAGGTAATCCCCCCCTTGGTGTAAGTACACAGCGTAATCAAAGTGGCTGCGTTAACTTCATCGGGTGAACAACGGGGTCTTGACATTATTTGTCGCAGGTGGGGGCACTACTTATGCAGAGGGGAAATATTCTAAGCGTGGATGGAGTGAAAACCCTATCGGTTCTTCTTGGTCACGCCAAAAAACTCGTCAGTGTGTTATTATTGACTCGGCATTGGTCAGCTCTCCCTCGGAGTCGTCGTCGTTGCCAGCTTCCATCATTCTTTTTTCTAAGTTGAGGGGAGGCGCATGGGTGTAGGGGGGTGAGGTACATGGGTATAGGGGGGGTGACGCACATGCAACATGAGGTACGACGCGGGAGCGAATCAGGTGTAATTTGTGAGAAGTTCTAAAACCATGCGGGGTGTAACTTCACCGTCGCATGGAAAAATGTTTCCTGCCTTACTTTCAAGAATGATGTTTCCAATGCGGTAAATGATTGATCCGAACAGGTAGCCAAACTGAAGAGGAAAAAAAAAAAAAAGAAAAAAAAATGAATGCCCCTTTGCATACCAGTAGGAGCACACATATACATGACCACACGTAAGGAGGTCAATGCACGACATCATTTGCTCCGCCTTACCAAAGTGACAAAGTCTAATACTCGGGGTTGCATGACGGCGTCTCCCTGGAAAAAGGAAACAGGGAAGAGAAGGGTGTAATAATGGGATGGAAAAATAGAGGTGTCCAATCATGGGATGCAAAAATGGAGGATTATAATCCAAGAGGGCAGAGGATCGAGAGGGGCCCCGTACCGCAAGGAATTTAAAGTAGTAGGCGATTGCTATTGCTGGTCCTTGTATGCAACTGACAATGGTGTAGGTCATGGTGGAAAATTTATCTATTATCTGCAGAAGGGGGGTGAGAAAATGATAAATGGAGGAGAGAGGAATTAATAACCCTAGGTACTGCACACATAAGTCGACAAAAGACACACATCAATTTTGTAAAAGGAGAAAAACACCCCTTCACGATGGGGCATTCTCTTTATCTCTCTCTGTGCCCCCCCCCTTGTACTTACAAAACTGGTGATTAAGTTGTCGCAAATGTTGAAAAAGGAATACGCTATGAATGTTTTCTGCGGAGTTAGGAAAAAAAAAAAAATTATCATAATGGTGAAATTGGCGGGAGCGTCTGGTGGGTGGCACCCCCCCTTTAGCTCATTCAGCTTATACAGTTTCCAGTTGCTTTATCTCGTTGCTTTTCGATTCATTTTGCTGCTTTCCCATTGATATGGCGGCTTCTCTATTAATCTCGCCGCTTATCCATTCATCTCGCTGCGGCGCCCTTACCCATGCCCCATCACAATCGTCGCACATCTTGGCCATTCCCATCCCGCAGTTCTGTGGGTGGGAAAAAAGGAAAATTAAAAAAATGGAGCACAGCCGCCGTGGGAGGAAGAAACACGAATGGATAACTCCTTCCTGCAAAGTGCACTATACAAGTCTGCATGTAAGAGAAGACAAAACGTGAGACAGAGATCCTCTCCCTGTGCATACCTCCACGATGGTGTTTTGTCCAAGAAAGAGACATCTGAATCCGTTTTTTATATTCGTTCCGATTTCCGAGAAGGGCAAATTGACTGAGGGGGTGAGCCAAGTAGAGAGGTGCAGTTAAAATTGGTGACCCATGCGGCTGCGTCTTCTTTGTGAAGCAACATGGAGATGTGAACAAGCAGAACATGGTAAGCCCCGCTAGTTGGGGAAGGGGCACCCCACCAGGACTCGCAAGCCATGCTTACTTTGCTTCAAAAATGGAAGAGTATACATCGGAAGCATCAGGCAAGAGGTGAATATTTGGAAGAAGGAAACTATGGCCTGTAAGGGGCGTAAAAAATGGGATCAAAAAATGAAGCAAAATACAGCAAAATGCAGCTAAGGGGAGCAAGAGTAAGCCAATGTTGGGGCTAATCGGTTCACTCTTCTACACACTCCTTGGCGCGAAAAGGGGTGGCCCCTTAGCCGAGTGCTAATATGTGCAGATATGTGCCCTTCATTCGGTTCCCTTTTTTTGGGGGGAAGCACATGTCCTTACGTTCAGGCGCAGGATGTTTATTTTGTACTTCTTGAAGACGATTTCTCTGGTCATGTTGGAAAAGCTTAGCGGCTGCGGACGAGGGGGTAGTGGAGCAGTGACTACATCGGTGAGTACATCGCTGAGGTGCAGCGACGGGTAAAGAGTGCCAGATCACAAGTCCCTGTCAGGAGTCTCCGCCAGTAGTGCTGGATCGAATCGATGGTTGCCTAAGACGTCGCTCCCAAACTTACAATGAGCGAGGCAATCAACACGAGGTTAAAGACGATGGAATTCTCCTCCTGCGTTTCGAAAGAGAGTAGGAACTCCACAATGGCGATGGTAACGACGATGATGAATGCACCAACATAATTAAACAGGTGGTATCTGGGGTAGAGAGGAACGGAGGGATTAAAAAAAGGGGGAAATGCGAAATGTGTACGTAAAATGGGGTTCTATGAACCTATGGGAAGGTGCGAATAAGGAAGGGCTACGTGGGGTGAGAGTCTCGCCAGACTTGTGCCGCTTCTCCCCACACTACTCCCGCCTCTCGACACATGTGTCACCTCTCCCCGTACCTGTATCGCAGAATCAAGAAGCAGAAAAACATATTTATCGGAATGCTCAGCTGCATGACGAAGGACTGGATGTTTCCGGTGGTTCTCGTGAGGCCTGAAGGGAGGGGAAGTGAAGTGAAACAGAGGAGAGGTTAAATAAAGAGGTGTCTTAAGAAAGACGTGGATGAACGAAGGCGAAGTGACATCCAGCTGGTGAGCCACTTCTTCGATTCTCCCCCGCGCGAAGTACCTATAAACGCAATGATAACTGAGCAGGCGTCCAGCATCGAGATTAGGAAAAATTGAACTCCGAAGTTGCAGTGTCTCTCCTGCGAAGGGGTATAGAAAAATCGGCACACACAATTAATCCATTTTGGGTACCATCACCAGTGGGATGCACTCTGCGGTGATCTGTCTCCCTCTCCTCAGGATGTCCACACCGTTTCCACCATTGCAATAATGTACACATATGGAAGAGCGATCCGATCGTGGGATTCGGGAGGAACAACTCATCAGCGTTACTAACCTTGGCGGACATGGCCCGGCGACCAAACATAAAATACAAAGCGTAGAAAATGATCAGGCAGATGCCATTGTGCGTCTCCGAAGTTACGAAGCTATAGTTCCCCATCTTCTTCAGCGTCCTCTTTGCAAAAATTTTATTCATTACACATACGCAGAGGTAAAGGATACTGAGCAGATAAATGGAAATGTTCTCCCTGATTTCATGGTAAACCAGTTTCAAAAAATTGAGGATTTTTCTTCCGATGGGAATGTCCCCTTGTATTTCGTCTGCAGGGGGAGGTGAAGGAAAGTAGTCATTTAGGGAAGTGGCTAGGGGGGGTGCTTAACGGGGTGCCTCGCGTAAAGAGTGAAATATCCTTCGTGGGTAGGGGCAGCGGGTTGTAACACTTGTCTCTTCCGAGGCGCACTCTTGTGAGTCCCTTCCACCTATCCTCTGGTCAGAAGCATCCTTCCTCAAATCGCCTGCCTTACTCTCATTTTGTTCGTGGCTACCCAACTCGCGGTAACGTTCATCGGGGGTTATTTGTGAGTCCTCCTTATTCTTCTTTTTCAAGATCCTCATTGTGTCTTGGGGGTAGCGGTGAAGCGGAATAGGTGGTTCGTGTTGCTGAGAACAGCGCGCAGTAAAGAGGATGGTGTGACGTGGATGATGCAACGCGGATGGTATGACGTGGAAGATGCGACGCCGATGATGTGATATGGACAGTGTACGCTTTGTGGCTAGACGGCCCTTCTACAGCGTCGTCAATCTGTCATCCGTGCGGGGGGTTGCAAACAGGGGCGACTCACTAGATGGTCCTCCGTCTGAATAGGCGCCGGCGAAACACTACGCGATTCTCCACAGAGCAGGCGAATCCACACAGGGGGAAAATGTGTCCCGTGGTGGTGGTGGAGGAGAGCCAAGGCAACGGCCCGCGTTTATCAGAAAAAGGGGCGCGTAGAAATAGGCGGCGAGGTGTAGCGGGAGTGTAAAAAAAAAAAAAGTAACAAAAAAAGGAAAAGAATCTTCAAACAATGTTTGATGAGGAAAGTTCCTCAAAAGTGTTGGAAATTTTCTGCTCTAGAAAAATTTCGCAGGATTTTTCAAAATTTCGAAGCATTTCTCAAATTTCTTAGAAATCGTCAAATTACCCTCCAGGCGTGCAAATCCCTTTAGCAAATAACAATCCGCGGGGGAGCGAAAAAGATTACCCTATGCCGTTGTGTTTGATTCCACTGGATTGGATTCGGTTTGATTCAGTTTGTTTCTACCCTGTGGTATGTTTTGTTGCTGCGTTGCTTCGTCACTTCCTCACTTGGTTATTTTTTTCTTCTTGCGAAAGAAAAGGTGACCGCTTCGCTTTATACGCGTTGTATATATATCTACATTTTATTGACTTAAATAAGAAGGGGGGATGGGTAACACGTGAGAAAATGAAGAAGCGTGTCAAATTAAATTAACGAGGAAGAATGATGTTTCGTTTTTGCAGCGCCCTTGGCCCGACCGGGTGAATTTCTAATTAGGGTTCCGTTCTATCTCGTTGTGCTGAAACGTGAACCTAAAAAATGGCTACCCGGAAGCGGGAGAGTGGGGGCGGCGGATTGGTACAATTGTCCGGTGGTTCTTTGGCCGCGGAAAATATATCATATATACAGTGAGGGCTTGGGTTAACTAATACAAAACAGGTACGACATATAAGGTATAAGTATATATATTATAATAGTCCCAAGTAGGTGCTCTTCTGTGCAGTTATGTGATCTTATGTGCTTCTATGCGCTGTTCTAGTGTGAATCCGCTACTTTATTACGCCTTCTTTTCGACGCACAGAGGAAAACTTATGGTTGTGAGTGCAAATGGGAAATTAGAGGGTAAAAGCAACTGCAAGGGGTAAATAGAAACCAAAGATAGTATGTACTTACATGTGCCGTTCGTAAGCCGCCTTTTAATAATGTATAATGCATTCCTTCTCTCGATGGCCTAAATGGGGAAAAACGGTGTGTCGCGAATAAAAAAAACAGTTGCCGGGGTGGAGGCGTCAAAGGGAAGAAGCAACAACGGGGCCCCTTCGCCCGCAGGAGGCATATATCGGGGCAGCCCACCACACACATACATACATACATACGAACATACCTATATATACAGATGCACTTGTAGAGCTCATCTCGGGGGGGGAAAAAAAAAATTACAACTTTTCAGTGAACAAAGCTCCGTTGATGAGTTGAAAAGTGAATTGAGCTGCGCTCTCAGGGCAAGCTTCAACAGCGCGCTATGTAAACATCGTCCGTACGTGCGTACGTCTGTTCTTACGTCTGTTCTTACGTCTGTTCTTACGTCCATTCTTAGCAGTCCATCCCCCCGAGGTGCACAAAGTCGGGTTCGAAATTGACCCACTGCAAAGAAGCCCCTTCCACCGGAGTCACACAAAGAAAAAAAAAACATTCCTCAGCATCCTTATGTGGATATGCTCCCCTCGAATAATCACATAGTGTGTTCCCAGATTATCCCAAGTGAAGAAAAAAAAAAAAAAAAACGAGGGACTAATTGCAGTCCGCGCGAAAAGGAAAGGCGACAGCTGCGTGAACACGTAAAACACGCGCAGATCGGCAGAAAGGAGACAATTACTCGCAGTTGTTCTTCTTTTTTTTCCCCCATGTCGCGACCGCTTTTTGCGGCGCCCCCCTGCTGTGTCGGAAAGAAAGGCATGCCCTTGTCGCGGTAGGGCAGAAGGGGGGCGACGATAAGGGCAACTAGGAGGGAGGGTCCCCTTCAAGGAGGCCATTGCCAGACCGCGCAAATGGGTGCCTATATATGCATGTTTATATGTATAAATATGCATATGTATATATATATCTATGCGTACGCACGTATGTATTTATATGTATGTGTTTAGATTTGCTTATAGGCGCACTCCTACCCGTGTGCGCTTCTTCCACCACCACAGGTAGGGCAATTTTTGCGAAACTGCGACCCTGCCGCTTTCCAACCCTACCGCTTCTCACCCCTCCAATAATTTGCCTACCAAATGAAGCGAATCCTCTCCCTGAATGTGCGGAGGCTCCACACAGAGAGGGGGAGGGGCCCCTACACATCATGCCGCGCCCTGATGAGAGGTGTAAAACGATTGGATCATTTTCCAAAGTGGAAGCAAACTCGCATGAAAGGAAGAAATGGCTTTAGATACTTCACGACGGGTAAGAAGGATCCACCAAAAGAGATTAAAAAAAAAAGCGTCTTCCTAACATGGAGATGCTTAGGGTTCAATTTAGCTTTGTCCCTTCCCATCCTCTACTTCTACCTCTTGCAATGTGAAAGGAAGAAGGGGAAGGGACAAATTGGGGTGACCAAAGTGGAATCCATTGGAAAGCCATTGATAGGAGGGGATTTCACCCTGTTTAATCATGACGGGAAGGTAGTAACAAATGATGACTTCAAAAAAAAATTTTGCTTAATCTATTTTGGATTTACTTACTGCCCAGATATATGTCCACAAGAGTTGGAGAAGCAGACTATCGTCATTGAAAAAATTGTAAAAAAATATGGGGATATCATAACCCCTGTTTTTATTTCTGTTGACCCGAATAGAGACACGCTAGCCCAGGTGAAGCATTACTGCAGTTCCTTTAGCGACAAGTTAGTAGGACTGACTGGCACGAAGGAGCAAATTAAGAAAGTTGCCAAGTTATTTCGTGTCTATTACAACGAGCATGTCGTGGCTGAACAGGCTGCCAGAACAGACACGCAAAGTGGCGACCTCCCCCCCCCTGCTGCCAACCATTACAACTACCTCATTGATCATTCAATAATTCATTACCTACTCGATGTGGACGGAAAGTTTGTCGATTTTTTCGGAAAAAATTGCACGACCAGTGAGATGGTGGAGAGGATATCTCATTATGTTGATCTTCATTTACAGAGTGGGGCTACCGTCAGGGTCAGCGGAGGGGCGGCCCTCGAAAATACCCCACAGTAGAGGGCTCCTTCCTTCAAACAGGGGCACGCAATCGTTCCTCCTGCTCTGAACATAGCATGTCTGCTTTCATATGCGGATCCGTTTGGGGCTGCCCAACGCGTGGACGTGGCGTACAACTTTAAAATTAATTAAAAAAAAAATTCGTTTTTTTTTTTTTCCTTTTTTTTTACATATATATATATATATATGATACGTAACGTCAGTGTGCAGGGAAACATGGATACGCCGGCTGGTGTGTGTTTGCGTAGCTCATAGAAGCACACAGCTCAGATCTACATGTCTCTACAGACACCCCCGCACGGCTGCAACTATCATAGGCATATATATAATCACTCGTTTATGAAGGCAAAAAAGAAAAAAAAAAAAAAAAAAGGGGGACACATTTCTATATATGTGTGTAGCAGCGAGGGGGAGGGAAGCCGCGCCGCAGGGGCGAGACCTCCCCGATCCTGACGTTTATACAAAATGATACGCTGCTCCGTTTCGCGCTGCGAACCGGTCAAAAACATTCTCGCCTGTGTGGGGGAGTGGGACGGCTCTTTCTTCTGTCTCCTCCGCCGCCTCCCAAATTAGATATCCTTCTCTTCCGCGCTACCTGCGTTGTCCTTGTTTGTGGAGTTATCCGTCTCGTCGGTCTCCTTGGCGTCCTTATTATCCTTCTCGACATTGTCGTCGGCATCCTTCCGATCGGCCTGCTGGCTTTTCTTCTTTTCCTTTTCCATTTTCTCCCTCTCCTGTTTTTCCTGCTTCTCCTTCTCCTTCTGTTTGGCTAATTCTTCTGCCTCAAGTTTGGAGAAATGTTTCTGCGCCATCTGCGTAACGTCGTTAAATTCGTTTTCTATATCTTTGAGGGTATACAGGGGTGCCTCGTACAGGGGCTGCTTCATCTCCTTCTCCTGCATGGCGCTAATATTGTCTAGCAGCTTTGTCGTCCTGGAAATAATCTTCTGACCTTCCTCTGATGGTCTCTTCTCGCATTGTGCAATGATATTCTTCAAATGGTTCAAAATGTTTCCCAAATTTTTCTGCTTCGCTGTGTACGTATCATACTTATAAATGATTTCTTTTACCCTGTCCCTAATTTCTTCCTTTTTCTTTATAAAGGCGTTTTTGTTTTCATCAATATTATCATAGATCCAATTTTCGCAATCGTCCAGGGCGAGCAGGATGGAGTCCCTCTCCTCATCCATGACAAAATCTTTGTACATTCCGTTCAGTCTGTTTCTCGTTTCGTATATGATTGTCTCAAGCTCGTTTATATTTTTCAATCTCTCTGCTTCTTGCAGATCACTGTGCTGCATGTTAATCTCTGCCTCACTAAAGTTGTAGATATCCTTCGTACTGTATGATCCTGGAGCTCCGATGGCTTCGATGGGCAGTGTGGTGTAGCACGTCTGTACTTTTCCTTCTTCTCCCTTTTTTAGCTCTGCTTTGTTTCCACTATGGTGAGATGGGATTGCAGTGCCATTGAGGGTTGCTCCATCGGCATTGTTGTCCTTCCCTTGATTCGATTCATCCTCATTTGTTTTTTTTTCCTTCCCATCGGTTTCCCCTTCATTTGAAGCATCTGCGCTTCCAGACCCACCTCCTACGTCCCCCTTTTGTATATTCTTTTTGTCTTCACTCTTCTTTTTGTCCTCCTTGGATTTAATCACCGTCTTGGACACGGTCTGTGCCCCTAAGAAGGTGAAGGTGTCACTCTCCGAGAAAGTCGTCATTACGTGCGATTCAACAATCTTGTCATTTTTATCATTCACCTTGATGAGACAGGACCCTAACTCTTTAATGCAATGTGGTGGCAAGTCTGGGCTGTCCTCATAGTAAGCAGTCACTTTGATCTGTCCCTTCTCTGGAATGACGACCTTCTTCACCTTCTTCTTCAACGAATCTGTGTCGTATAATCTTTCCAGTTTGCACTTGGATGGATCGTTAACATTATGCCATTGGACACTAATCGGGTGAGTGACTCTCTCTATGCATTCGTATTCCTTCACTTTGTAGTGTTTACTGATCATGGCTCCTGAGAGGACGCAACCCCTGGCAACGGATTCGTCCGCAATTAACGTTTTGGATAATGGCTTGTCGAAATATTGTTGCAGAAATTTTTGTATGAATGGTATTCTGGTGGAACCTCCTAAAATCTCGATCGATTGCACATCGGCGATGTTGAACTTGCTCACTTGCATGGCTTTATTTAATAAGGTTTTCAATTTAGAAAGAAAGAACGGGGCACACAACTCTTCAAAGCTGTCTCTGCTTATGAATCCTTGACAGTCCAGATCTTCATAAAGGCACTCCACGTGTATAGAAGTTTCGTTGTTCGCTGAGAGGATCTTCTTCGTCTTCACCGCGACGTCTTGCAATTTCACCCTTATCTTGTGGTCAATCTGGCTCGTCTCATTGTTAGAGGTGACAAAATATGGGTTCAGCTTCCCCGTTCCCATTTCGCACAGATCGGTAGACCTTATCTTATATAACGGGTTCATCTTATGCGAATTCACAAATACATTGTTGATATATTTTATGATCTCATTGTCGATGTTCCTTCCCCCCAAATTGGTGTCCGCCACGTCACTCAGAATTTCACACTTATTGGAGAAAAATCGAGCAACACACACACATGTGTTCGCGTAACCTATGTTAACGAAGACAACCACCGAGCCGACATCATTTTTAAATTCTTTCATTCTGTACATGCCATAATCCAGAGCAACGGCTGTGTTGTCGCTAATGATTCTAAGCGCGTTTACGTTAATAATCTTTGTCGCTGCGAGGAGACATTCCTTCTGGTTGTTCGTGAAGGTAGGGGGGTACGACAAAACAATTTCGGTGCATTCTTTCCCTATATATTTTTCGGCCAACTTGATTAGAGAAAAGAGGAGAGCCGACAAGACCCGCACGGCACTTATATCGATCTTCTCATTTTTATATTCAACCTGGAAGCCCAGATAATTATGCTCACATGGGACTAAATTTCCAAAGGATTCGCTGAGCTCTATGTCGTCTTCCTGAGCTTGCACCGCTAACTTCCCAATGAGGTTCTTTATATTCCTGCATGTGTTCCTGAAGTTGGATTTCAATTTCGCTAGAGCGTTGTCTCCAATTAGCCTCTCCTTCTCCGTGAACGCCACCATCGTGGGCGTCAGGCGCTCCGACACATCGTTCCGCACGATGTTGATCGCTCCCTTGTTGATCGCTGCAACCACGGAGTTATCATTTCCTATGTCGATTCCGAGCACTGACATAGTGTTTCGGCGGCTGGGGCGGTAACTGGTGGGTGCGCTGCCAGCGATGTTGTGAGGCGCCGGAGGGGCAGTAAAATCCTTAATCGGTAAGCGGTGAAAATAGGGGGTTCTGTCCGTCACATGCACAGCACGTGCATCAAAAGTACCCTTTCACGCGGAGGGTTATGTTGTGTTGCCAATCTTGGGCAAAGCCAAAAAAATTACTTCCTCTATATGCAGGTTTTGACTCATGCAGTGGCTCTTCCTGCTGCTTTGTTCTCTAGGTTGCGTCGTCCTTGTTGTTCTTCTTCTTTTTTGTTTTTATTTTCTCAATCAGTTGTTTTTGGTCTCTGTAGATATCTCCTTTAAGGCAAAAAAAAAAAAAAAAAAGGCGTACTCAAAAGATGCTTTTTTTTTCTTTTTTTTCTCTCTTCGTGTATTTGCGTTTATTTTTTTTTTCCCTTATTTTTCAGTTCATTGTGATTCCTATATGTTGGTTCCTTTCGCGTTCCAAATGGTTAACAATTTCACGCTTTTTATTTTTATTTCATTGTTATTTTTCATTTTTGCTTTGTTGTAAATTTCTTTTTTTTGTGCTTTCAATTTTTTACGTTAACAATTTTTTGCGCTTTTTCCTTTTTTTTTTTTTTAAAATATTTTCAACCTCAGCATTGGTCGCAAAAAAATTGTAGGGGCGAAATGGTCATGAAGGTTTCCGTCATTTGTGACTTCATTGCTGCACGCATGTGGGTAGAGGGCATGTATGTACCCTACGTACGTAGTTATGGAAGTATGCACTGCGGAAGTTAATATATGTAAGCATTTTGCTTCTCACTTTTTTGCAAAACAAATAAATATTGTGGTGCTTAAACGGAGAGGCACAAATTGCGGGATGAGGCGTACAGGATGAGGGTGTTGAGTGGAATACGATGCCGTAGCGCAGCACAGCGGCATACGTTCGCTTTATAATCCACGTAGGAATGTCGAAAAAAGGAACGATAAAAGCGGAACCAGGCGAGCAGTGTTTTTTTTTTCCTACGGGCATACACGTTATATATTATAATATTGATATAATTTATGTGCCAAGCATGTAGGCACATATATAATGTGGTATACTACGCTGCGCTCAAAAATTGTAGCTGGTGGGGGCATTAAAAATATGGTCAGCACCGAATAGGAATGTGTTTTTTTTTTTTTTTTTTTGCCAAACATGCATGCTCTAGATGAGGAGAAAGCACGCCGACAAAACGTTTCTCCAAAATAGTGAAGCGAGTAACAAAACGTTTTTATAGCCACGTTGGGGGGGCCGCATGCAAACCGCTCACGTATGCTTAAGGCATCACGTGAAAGTTTCCTTATGGTTAATGTTTTATCTGCCCTATGTGGTGTCACCGCTCGAGGCAAGCCTTGCAATGGTGGCACCTCGCATCGCTTCTTGGGAATATGGGATTTTGCCACCTGGGCAGGGGCGGCGATATAGCGATGCTATTTTTGTGGTGGGCTACTTTATTTGCAGCTCCCCTTTCGCCTCTTCCCTTCTGCAGCTCCCCTTTTACTGCTCCCCTTTTGCCGCTTCCTTTTACTCCTCCCTTTTTTCTCCTTACTGTGGCTTCTTCCAAAAGAATGCGCTTCACGTTCATCCCTAATGCGGCTAAATGAACCGGCTACATATACCTCTGTAGGGGAGTCGCAAATATTGCGGGGATTGCAACATCAGAATGATTAGCCACATGTGAAGATATTTGCCACTCCAAAAAGAAAAGGCCAACAAATTGAAAAAAAACTTGTTCACACTAGCTGACGTGTAAATATATCACATGTATGCACGCACATGGCCTGGTCTGGCCTTACCATATTGTTGCGGTGTAGCATTTTGTTTTAAGGGGCTTCTTTTCGTGCGAGGCGCCGTCGAAATGACCCACCATCACCCCCTCGTTCTGCATCTCTATTTTGCGCATATATGTAAAGGTGAAAAGGAGGAAAAGCTGCCTTCGTTCTGATAACACCCCCCCGAGGGTTGTCATTACGCGGAAGGTTTGGTAAAAATGACTCGGCGGAAGGGGGTGGGGGGAGGAGATACTAAAGCGGAAGTGTGTACCGCGTTGGATATTTCGAGGAAGGAAACGCATAAAAGGAAGGTTCCCCTATTGCTCGCTTATGGGCGCACTTCAGCTTGATTAGCATCTCAGTAAATCTCCCAAGCTCAAAAGGAACAATTGGGGAACCAAATTATTTAGAATGGTCACGCCCTTCAAACGGAGTGCGCAAAAACAGGGTGTGGTAAGTATCGCCCCACTCACCACAAGGTAAGGGTAAACGTATAGGAACGGCAAAGGTGTTCTGTTCATGGAAAGGAGGATTCCTTTGAAGCGGCTTTATACCTTCCATTGGGGAAAACCAAATGGCCCAAAAAAATGGCTTCCTTTCTTTGATAATGACAACGGTGGGGAAAAACCCAGAAATAATTTTCCCGTCGTTTGGGTTGTCCCACCCGTTACACACAATGCAGTGGATCACTTCTCTTAATTAAAAAAAGGGGTTACCAAAAAGGGTGACCAAGAGGAACAACCATTTTTTTCTCTCTCCTTTGTGACAGCCTTCCAAATGGCTGACAATGCATAGCTGTCATTTTGTAAGCGACGCGATGTCCACACTTGGGCACATGGTGGACACCGTCCCTCTGTCCGCATCCAGGAGGGCTATGGAGGAGGATAAAGTAGCGTCCCCACTCTGTACTGCTCCCTTTTTGCAACTCGGAACAACGATCAGTTAATCCCTCCACAGAGATTTTGCAAAACTGCAGAAGATTCACGTGCAAATTAGCATCTTACTTTTAACGCGGGGAAGGATGCCCCATTTGGGCATAACCTTTAATGGTAAGTTATGCGGCAAGCGTGTGAGAGAGGTTTTTTTTTTTTTTTTTTTTTTTTCGCACATGATCCACTTCCACATTGTAAAATACCTCATAACGTCAGATTAAGAAAAAAAAAAATGCTTCATTAGGTGTGCACAGATTTACAGAAACGTAAATATATTGGACACTTCCCTTTTTATTTACCTGTTTTTTTTTTTCTTTTTTTCAATTTAATTGTCCCCCGTGAAGAGTAATATCACCCCACGGTAACTACGTAACGTGCTTTGGAGGGTTACCACAGGAACATAAAGAAAAGTTTCCCCGCCTCCTGACATAGATCGTTATACATGCTCTGTGTTCTGCGTAACTTTATGGAGACCCAGTGAGGGGAAAAAAAAAAGGAATAAAATGATGAACGTATTTGTTGGGTTACCTCTTCTGTCGAACGTATAATGGCAATTGCGCACCAGTCGTAAGTGCAAGAGGGGAACAAGGCGAAGTAGCAACGAAGGGAACACCCAAACGAAAGTATAACTTTCATGGCGTATGCATGGCTCTTCCACGGGCGTCAAAAGGACGCATCGCAAGTTCGACCCAGCTTAATGGGGGACGAGATTACTTTAACGCATTTTTATTACAAAAAGTGCTAGCGTACAGGGAAACCGCACGGAGCAAGGAAGAGTTTTTTTTTCTTCTTTTTTTTCTTTTAAAATAATGTGCATGGCCATTTTTTCCCCCTTTTACTTTGCAGTAGCTACCCTAAGGCAATAACTGTTTGAGAAACCCCGGTGCGCAATTTTATTCACTCCATTTTCGGTCAGCACACATTTTTGCCATTTCGTCATTTTGCCTTTTCACCATTTCGCTAGTATATATCTGTTCATACCACGTGCGAACGCATGCCCACATCGTTCATGTGCACCTCCTATAAGCGTATACAACGTATGCATGCGCGTCTAGGGAGAATCCCACTCTGTGCCGACGTATGTGCGTGACCAAGCACAATCGACGCAGCGAAACACTTTTGTCCTCCGCCACCCAAAAGTGAAGATGCTGTTGCGACCGAATTTGTCCAAGAAGTTCAATGCGAAATGCCCAAGCTTCATTTTTATGAACACAGATGTTAACGGATTACTCAAGAGGTATGTTGCGTCGCAGCCGTTGGGGATAAATCTGCCAGAACCCCCACCAAGGGAATTTTTGCCAAATGGGGAACCCAAAACGTATCGTTTGAACCAGAGGTATTACAACCATAAGTACAATTGGGAAAGATGGACCTTAAGACCGGCTGGAGTTTTTCACACCTATTTACAAGGAGAATTCGCAAAAGATCATAAGCCTCTACTAGCGTGGTTACTACAGTACCCTTTGCCTTTGGCCTTTATTCCCTATTTTTTATTTGCCTTTGGTTTGTCCTTTACATTTCACCATGTGTCCTATCTGGGCATAAAACCGAAGAGATTTACTGTCGAGTGGGTGGAGGCTAATAAGGAAAGAGAACGAGCTGAAAACACCAACCCGATTACGAGGTACCTCGATCGGAGAAGAAAAGAAAGAGGACCGCACTGGATTCTGGAGGACTTTTTGCCTCCTCACCCGTGTTACCTACACATGAGTAAGTATCACCACGATACGGAGCTTTTGCGAAAGAGAGAGGAAGAGGCTGAAGAAAAGGGGGGAGCCGGCGGGGATTAGTCACACGGAGCAGGATGGCAGCAGACGACATTGCTGCATAAGCGTCAGAAGACATTGCAGAAGGGGCGGCAGATGATAAGGCAGAATAAACGGCGCGGCAAATCTGCGATCGTTGCGCTGTCGAGTGCATGTCCTCCATCAGTTTCTCTAAGAAATCGCAAAGGTGTTTATGCAGCCTTGCATATGCTCATCTTTAATTAGAATCGGGTTAGAGATTAGTTCACTGCGATAGGGGGGACGCACCAGTAAATAATGAGCTAGATAAACACACATGCAAATACGTACCTACAAACGTACACCCTCGTATGCACAGCCAGCGAGGTTCAGTTCGATCCACTTCTCCGTGAACCTCTTTTTTTTTTGTACTTCTTTCTAGACCGATTTAAACGCGTGCTCACTCGTGGTGGGGATGCTTCCACGCCGAACTGGTCCGCATTTTCCCCATATTTTAGCAACCATAATCTGAATGAACGTTCCTACAGTTTAAATTGCCCAAATGGAGAAAATAAAAAAAAAAGAAAAAAATTCACACGATGTACTTCCTTCTTTTTCTGAAGGGTACAGGTAAAATAGCCAAAATGGAAAAAAAAAAAAAAAAAAAAAAAAAAATCGTCTAGCCGAATTAGCTCCCCCTTTTAGCTGTTTTGCACACTTACGCAAATATTTTAGCCTTAACAGTTGATGCGTTTTTATAAATTATTCACCTGTTGTGCGAAGGGGCAGTTGTTCATTAAGTCTTCGAAGGTGTGGAAATGTTGATAGGTTGAACGGTTGAGCAGCTGAACGGATGAACTACTTATACCCTTTCACATTTCCCGTCGTTTTTCCTCTTAAAGTGAATTTTGTTTTTATGTTTCATTTTGTCCTAACTCGCGAATAAATGTGTGTGATGCGCTTGCTTCATTCCAGTATCCTCGCGCGAACGGGAAAAGAGACATAACAGCAGGGGAAAGGACTACACCCATCATGTACCATTTACACATGTGTGTTTCACATTATTTACACTTTCCTGGGTATTTAAAAAGCATCTATTTGTGAAGCTAAACGTTTGTACGTGCTCGTCCGTTGTGTATATCCAGCTGCACACCGCCACTGTAGGGAAGCTGACAAAGAGGAGCATCTGTTTTTACAATGGAGTTGCTACTGAACGATGGGTACACACAGGTAGGGACGAGGAGGCGTAGAAAAAAAAAAAAAAAAACTAAAATGGAAAAATAGCGCAATAATGCGCAAAGACGCACCCAACTTAAACGAATTATCTGCATATGCACTACACATGGTGGACAAATCCCCATTTTTTCCTCCCCTTTTACGCGTCAGGAGGAGAAAAACTGCGTCCAAATTAACCAAACTGATGATTTTATCAACCAAGAGAACGACATACACATAAGTATTGTAAAGCCAATTATCAAGCGCACCATTAATTCGGAATGTGAGCAGATAAACGCATTTTACAAGCCAGTCGAGTTGGTGGAAGAGGTTAATACGTATGTCAAAAAAGGAGAGGAGTATCTCGTGAAATTGTATGAAAATTTGAAGCAGGAGGAGAAAAGAGAAAATGAACAAGCAATGAAAAGAGGGACAAATTCGACTCCAACGATGGTCGCCCGGTTAGGTCAGCTTTACAACACCAAGTACGTACATGCAGAGGGGGTAACTACAGAACAGCCTACAACTAATAACCTATTTAAAGGTGAGAATGAATCTGCTGGACCCAAGTTCGAAACAGTGTTCGTGCCCAAATTAACAAAAAACATCGAGATTGTTAATTGTTTGAAGGAGAACGTCAATGTTGATTACACCTACTTGGTTCCCAAGCCCGTTGTCATACCTGTTGAAGTCCCCATGTTAAAATTTAGAGATAATTTTAAAATAGTTCCGATCCGTAAGAAAATAATCCCTGTGATCAGATACACTGATGAGGTTATCTATGTGGACTGTTATGTTGAGAAGCCGTATATCGTTTACGAGAATATCATCGCCCCTGTTCCGTGTGACGTCCCCATAGAAGAGCGGAAGTACATCGACCACGCCCCTCCTGTGCGAGAGTGAACAGTCACAATGGGCTACCTCTACGTAGGGAGGAAGTTTATCCACCCAAATAGGAGTAAGCGTTACCTCATAGGTGCACAGAAGAGCAAGAACCGGGGTGGAGAAACACATTACGCAAGTGTGAAACGCGTCCCATTGCGTCTTCCAACTCGCAGTTGTATCCTTAAGCGTTGCATCAACTCACAGATCAACTGTTTTGTGGGCTCCATTTTGAACGAGATGCAGCTTGGCGCAAGTTAGCAGCGAGGCGACATTCCTCCATTCGTCTGTTCCCCCTTGTGTTCCTTTTTTTTTTTTTTCTTCTCCTTCCCAACATGTTCACACCCCTTCGAGGAGGGTAGAAAAAAAAAAAAATTAAGACGTTTCAATTTTGTTAGTTGTTGCGTGGTGTTTAGAAGCTCCAATTGTATGGTAAAATGGGGAAGTGGTCTACAGCCAGGTGGGGGAGATGTGGCGAAACGTGGGGAGAGAGATGCAGGTGTTGTTGGTGGTTACTCCTCTTGGAGTTGGAGTTGCATCCCCGCCGCCGCAAAATGGCTTTTTTATTATTCCCCGCACAATGTGAGAAATCGAAAACAGGGGCGATTCCCTTAAAATGCGAAGAAGCAAAATGATGCAAAATAGAAGGGTGGTGTCATCTTTTCAGAGATATACTCTTCTATTGGGCAGGCAACAAAAGATGAACAAAGCAAGAGGGTTATAATATTACCTTCTGGGAGAGGGAAATTTAAAGGAAAAAATCGTGGCAAAAAAAAAAAAAAAAACATGCCATTCGAGAATTGCAAAGCGCGAAACGAAGATGTCACCGCTGTCGGCCCCAACCGGTATTGTTTTATGGTGCATGCTGTACGCAAGAAACAGCAAAGAGCGTCAAGCGTGTGAGGAAGCAAGGCGGAGTTCCTTTTTTTAAGACTACCACGTGGAGTGATACGTACTTGTGTAGAGAAGATTGTTTGGCGAGAATCCTCTTGAGGGAACAGTTTTCACCCGAAATGAGAACATCCAACTTTGTATCCTCTTCGTGACGATACGGAGCAGGTTGCTCGAAATTGTGAAGTGGGTATTCTCCATACACGGCAGCGCAGCCGCCTACAGGAGGAAGAAGAAGAAGCGAAGAAGAAGCGAAGAAGAAGCGAAGAAGTGGGAGAAGTAATTTTTCCTTCCCAAAATAAGAGGGGCCCAGTCGTGGGACGGCCATACTGTGCCGAGCGCATCGAAACAACTTGGTTAGGGTTCCCACGAGGAAGTACTACTCTACCACGATGAGGTGTACCCACAAGTGTACTCACTTACAAGTGCCCTCTACCTACCAACCTACATATACGTATTGGAAAAAGAAACATTACGCATGCTTACCCCATGCATCGCTTGAACGGTAGAAACGAGTAAAAGGAGAAAATCCACAATGAGTAGCGACGCCAAAGAAAGCGACGCTGTAAGCAACAGCGGCAGCCGGGAAGACCCCATCCACGAAATGAAAAAAAAACAGTTTGAGGAGAAGCATATGGAACTTAAGGAGAAGCTAAAAAGGCTCAAGAGTGTCAATAATAGTGGTGTAAATGATGATGCCAATAGTCTCGATTCGGCCAAACAGGAGAAGGAGGGTTCCAACCCAGACGAAGCTACCATTGAACAAGATAAAAGTGATAACAAAAGCAAGTTTCTTCAACTGAAGGAAAAGCTGAGAAGAATCAAGGAGGAGAATAGTGCCCTTGGGGTGGGGCGCGGAAGACAAAGCATTCGCAGCGCAAGCAGCAGGCGAAGCAGGATTAGCCAACGAAGCAACGGCAACGCGTGGTCACCACCCTCGGGGAAGACTACCAAGATAGAACTCGCTCCAATACAGAAGGACCGAGAAACCTTGCGAGCAGAACTGAAGAGAAAATTAGAGAAGTTTAAAAGGGAGTATGGAATTTGTGATAGCGAAAAGGGAAGAGCTGCCGAAGAGGAGGAGCAGCAGGAGCAACAGCAGAAACAGCATCAAGAACAGAGGGTGCATCAAGACAGAAGCTTAAGCAGAGGGTACCCAAACCGGAAGAACAGGAAACGTGCACGAGGAGGAAGTAACTCCACGATCAATCGTTCCACGTCGCGTCGGATGAAAAAGCGACCAAGTTATGAAAGCATGGAGTTGTATATCCCCCCCGACAGATATAGAATTAACGGTAATAATCCAAGCGAGTATTACAGAAGGGGTTCCAATAACTCCCCCCAGTATAGCTCTGTCGAAAGGGCACATAGGAGGGACTACCGCGGGAGGGTGGTCGCTCGCCGGGGCAGTTCCTCGCCTGAGGAGCGGGTCGGCAGGGGGATGCGCGACAGCCCCAGGAGGGGGAGAAGCCGAGACTGGGGAAGAAGCCGGGACCGAGGCAGAAGCCGGGACCGAGGTAGAAGCCGGGACCGAGGTAGAAGCCGGGACCGAGGTAGAAGTCGAGACCGAGGTAGAAGTCGAGACCGAGGTAGAAGTCGACACTGGGGAAGAAGCCGGGAGAGAGACTACTGGAGAGATAAGCACATATACTTGAAGGCACGAGAAAGGTGGAGCCAAGGGTGGGATCACGATGACGCACACTTCAGGAGGGAAGAAAGACAAAACAGATATTTGTACAATCAACGGACAGGAGAAAAAGTAGAAAAGAAGTTCTTTCGAGTCCCCTTGGGATACCACACGACGAAGGAGAGCTGGAACAGCTACACACACTGGTTGCAAAAAAAAAATGACTACAGATTTGGCCTACCCTTTGATCAGAACAAAATTTTCAGACGATCTAAATCGTTGTCTCCGACCACCTGGAAGAAGTTCGTGCCGAACTCTGAAGAGGATGATGACGATGGGGTACCCTCGGGTTCCGACGGCGAAGGGAAGGCAGCCAAAAGGGATGGAAAGAATAGGCCTAAACACAGAAAAGGTGAAAAGACTCAAAGGGGAAAGCACCATAAGGGGGACTCCTATGTTGATGGGCGCAGTGATGATGATGGTGACGCCGGTCGAAAGCGGAACGGTACTTCCTCCCCATCCAAGTCACGCTCGCGTGGTGAAAGGGGAAGATACAACAGTAGTGATACTTCACACAGACGGAGGAAGAGTAAGAAATATTCAAAGAGTATATCCTCGGGGGGAGAGGTAGAAAGGGGAAGGAGCCTCGGAAAGGGGAAGAGGCGATCATCATCCGTGATGAGAAGAAAGAGCAAGGCGGAGAGGAAGTCATCCAAGAGGAGCAACCATCACAGGTGGAGAAGGAGCAGAAGCAGTAGAAGCAGCGTAAGCAGCAGCAGTTACAGCGGCAGCCACAAGCGGAACAAAAAAAAACGTAAACAGAGAAAAGACGAAGAGGTGAAAACACGAGGCGGAAAAAAGCTCAAAGCAAAAGAACGCAATGAAGAAGAACGCAACGGAAAGAAAAAGAGGAAGAGCAAACATGAGGAGAAAAAAAAAAAAAAGAGGAAGAGTAAACATGAAGAAAGGAAGAAGAAACCAAAAAAGAGAAACAAAGCGAAAAGAGACTCGGACCATTCTGACAGCGGAGGGGAAAAGAGCGACGCCGCCGCTACTTCTGCCACATCCCTGTCCTTCCTGTGCGAGGGGTACGACTTCCTGAATGATAAGGACACGAGCAAGGAGGGATCAGGCGAAGGTGGGAAGAACTCCGAAGAGGGTAAAATGGAGTACAAAGAAACAGAGGGGAAGGAAGAGGCACTGCTCGAAGCGCAGCAGGGAGCAGAGCTCATCGGGGAGAAGAGCCCCAGCAACTTTGAAGACTCATCCGGAGAAGGAAGCGACGTGGGACCCAAGCCACTAGACGTGAACGTCAAATTAGCCAACCAACAAATAGACTACGGTGCGGCCATGATGCCCGGAGAGGGGCAAGCCATCGCGCAGTTCGTACAGAAGGGGAAAAGAATTCCAAGAAGAGGAGAAGTCGGGTTGTCTGCTGAGGCGATTGAAAATTTCGAGAGCCTTGGTTATGTCATGAGTGGATCGAGACATAAAAGAATGAACGCCATCCGTATGCGAAAGGAGAATCAGGTATACAGCGCTGAGGAGCAGAGGGCCCTCGCCATGTTTAACTACGAGGAGAGGGCCAATCGGGAGAATGCCCTCATAAGTGACTTGAAGGAGGTTCTGCGGAAGCAGAACGAGGCAATCTTAAACGAGAGTAAGAATAACTAATCGTACGGATGGAGATGACCTACTTGTTGGTGGGTTTCTCCATTGGATTCGTTTTACGAAGTTCCCTTTTTTTTTCTTTTTTTTTTTTTTGAATTGTGGTGGACGAAGAAAGGGGAGCTCCCCTCAACGGCGACTTCGTTACTTCTCATTGTGTCTATCTTTGATAGTGCCCAAATTCGTGTAAAAAAAAAAAAAAATTTTAAAATTGCACACTGTGCCGGTGTCATATGTGTCATCAATTATCCCTCAACCCAATTTGTTCGTATAAAGAGGTACTTTTCCACAGGCACTGGTGCTCGCCTTTTTTTTTCTTTTCTGTGGAGGCATAAAAAAAATTGATTACATATTCCAAACAAATGATGATCGATAGTACGTCAAAAGGGGTGGACGAACGTGGAGGAGCAGTTCATGAGGAGCACTCCATGCGGTATACACCCCTCCGGCAGGCGAGTGTAGAAAATTGTCCCCTTGGCCACTTTGGCTGCAGGCACAATTTGCACTGGTGGAGGAACGCACATGTGTGGACGCGTGTCATATGGAAGGTGTCACCGAGCGGGTAGGAGGCATAAATGAGGGTTTCCCTTACCGTTTACGTTACCGCTTCCGTCATCATTTCCGTTTCGGTTTCCCTTTCTACGAGGCTCAGCTCCTCCCAATTGAGCTTTCAGAAAAATGTGTTTCAATTTATTCTTTAAATTTATAAATTCGTTTTTTCTTCGTAC